AGTCAAAGACTAACAGGAACTGCAGCTTGGCAAAGGCATGCAAACATGGACAACATGCAAGCTTTAAGAACTGTTAGTTGATAGGTGTCGGTAGGCGTCGAACAGGATCGATGACAATCGCCTGCGAAACTTTCTACCGCTGATACCAAATACGACTGCCGGCAAACCGCATTTCAGAAACTTTTGAAACTAAAGTGGGTTTATATAATAAGGATTGACTAAGGACTGCTTAGTTTAAAAGATTTAAATTGATTAAATTTATCGTTTAACATTGTTTATTTAATATTTAATTTAATTTAGGCCAAAAAGTTACGTCGAATGTGACCTTGTAAGAACCATAATTATACTTGTAAGTAGAATGAAGAATGAAGATGAAGGCTCAATCAATCTCCTGTATCGATATTCGAAAATTGCTTACTGTTACTGCTACAGCCTATTAAAGTCCACTGATTAACATAGACCTCCCATAGATTGTCTGTCGCTCATCTCATGATTTTTTCGCCTCGAAAATTGATTTTTATACATCATATATTAAATATTTTTCTTACTATAGCATGAAACAAATTTTACCTATATCTCTACCTATATCTACACTAGCCTATGCTTCATTTATGCCTGTCTGTTCATACGACACCTTCAGCATTATGTGGAGTAGTGGATAATTTTACTCCACCAATGGAAACAGTCCACTGCTGAATAATATATTCTCTCCTTACTCGAGAGTAATAATTATTTATCACCATGTAACCATCCTAATTGAACCTATATCTTGAAATGCAAACGCACAAACAAGCGCACAGTTCACCTGATAGTGAGTGGATGCTGTGGTCCATAGTCATCTACATTTAATATTAATTGTGAAGATAGGGAATCGAAATGCTGATGCGTTTTTACTCCTGAGGACTATGATGGTTGGACTTCGTTTCCAGTAAAAAAGGCTCTCCGGTTCTCTACACTCACTATACGAACACAGCAGTCATAAGCTGCTATTGAACGTTGGTATATTTTTCATAAGGTTTCTTATAAAGATTTTCGTTTATTTATTAAGCATCCGGAATTAATAATAGGCCGTTCGTAACATTCACTTGGAAATACACAAACCCCTTTACAGTATTTATTTGCTCCTTCCCACTTTCAATTGAGGCTTACAAAAGGTCGTCTTATTGCCTTATATTTTTTACCAGATGTGACGCTCCCCCCCCCCTCCTCTCTTCAAAATTATATTATTTATATTTAACTTCCCCTTTTTAAATAAAATTATTGATATGTGACCAGGATAAATAAAATATAATAAAATATAGAGCCATGCAGCCGTTATATTAGTAGTATAGTTGTAGCACGAATAGGTCGGCTTCACCGGGGGAAGGAGCACGCTCTCACAGAATACCAGCGTAAAATATCAGCTTAAGGCTCCTATGTTTCGTATGGTGAGTCTGAGACCGGATACCCTTTTCTCTGGAAACGAGGCATTCCATCTTAGTTCTCACGGGTGACAGCGCATCTGCATTTTGATTCGTAATCGAGGATAGATGTAGATGTCTATGAGCCGCAGTAATTACTTACCATCAGGTGGACTGTGTGCCCGTTTGTCACCCTATCCTATAAAAAAAATATGATTTCATCTTTCTAAAGGTTTAATTATAGGCCGTTTGTAATATTAACTAATTCATCAAAGAGACTTTCAATAGTATTTGTTTTTGTATCATTGACCTTACTATTATATGTCTTTAATATGTGGTCTTTAATATGTGGGCTTCAACCCACAACTCTATAATTATAATGCTTACGCATCAAGGAGACCTTCTATAATAATGGTTTAGTATAAATACTAAACGCGCATTTACTAACGTTGAACACAGATAAAACAAAGTTAATAGACTTTTCTATTCGAAACACAAAAAATTCAACAACAAACTTATTACAAATCGCTGTTGAGCCTCCCCTTGATGTAAGAAATAGTACAGCCAATAATGACTTACACTATATAAAAAGTGACATCTATAAAATATCTTGGAATTATAATTGATAATAACCTCACATTTAAAGCTTACATTGAACACCTGTCAAACAGAGTCCGTAAACTTATCTACATTTTTAAACAATTACGTCAATCTGCAGATTCAGAAATCATGAAGATGGTTTATATGGCATTGTGTCAATCAATTTTATCTTATTGCATATCCCCGTGGGGTGGTGCGGCTAAAAGTAATTTTATACAACTTGAACGGGCACAGAGAGCTGTGTTAAAATTATGTTGTTTTAAACCGGGTATTTTTCCTACAGACCAACTTTACGACTATTGCCAAGTACTAACAGTTAGACAATTATTCATTTTAACCACCGCTCTCAAACAACATGCCTCAACCAAATATATCCCTAAATGGACACGACGTAACCAACTAGTTGCAAAGTCTACTCAAGTTAAAACTTCATTTAATCACAGATTCTTCATATTCCTTGGATTTCCTTGGAGATAAGGTTTTATGCTATTTATATAATAATTAGCATAAAACCTTATCCCTCTTTTCTCGAAATCAATATGAGTGCAAAAACATTATTCTCAAGTGGCTCCTTAAGCAAACCTATGCAAAAACGGAAAGTCTTTTTGGAGATTGTCGTGTAAAATACATAAACATACACACACACACACACGCGGGCGCGCGCGCGCACACACGCACACACACACACACGCACGCACGCACGCACACACACGCAGGTACAACACACACACACACACACACACACACACACACTCACGCACGCACGCACGCACGCACACTCACTCACACACACACATACACACACTTTTCTAAGTTTTCTTAACCATAACCAATTATTTCAATTAGGTATGATAAATAAGGAAATAGAGTTAATCTTTATGAGTTAAAGTTTTAGATATAAATAGCATTCCTCGTAGAGGTGGAGACCTGGTGACCTGTAATACGTGTATCTTACCCACCACAGGCACCAGCGATCCACGGGCAAAGTTCTTTTGTACTACTTATAAGTATGCTACTTATAACACTAAATGTAACTTTGTTTTGTGGTGAGAAATAAACGTTATTATTATGGGGTCTATCTATATAGTTTTCTCATCTGGTTTGGATGTATAAATATATAGTTATAAACGAAAATGAAAAGATAAATATACATAAATATCAATAAAATAAAATAAATACGAAAATACATAAATAAACAAAAGCCCAACCAGATGGAAGCCCTCGGCAGAGGAGACCAAACGGCCAAGGGTTAGGGTGAAAGGGAAAAAAACCGGCGGACGATGCGGGCAGTGTCAAGGAGCACCGCCTTCTGCATTTGAGCTCGGAGCGGTCCGTCACGGAGTCCCAGTCGCCTCAGATGACTAGAGAGGCTAACTGGGATTAGCCCATTCGCAGAGACGACTACAGGAATAATTTCGGTCGGCAGACCACCCCACATGACGGTCACCTCGTGAGCCAGGTCCAGATATTTTGATTGCTTATCTGTTTCGGCTTTCACGAGGTTCTCGTCATACGGGATGCTAATATCGACCAAAAATATACTTGACTGTGCCCGGTCCATCAGCACAATATCAGGCTTATTCGCAAGAATAGTCCTGTCCGTGATGATGGCCCGGTCCCAGTAGACCCTGGCGCGGTCATTTTCGAGCACGGCTTCCGGCAAGTACTTGTAATACGGCAATTTCCGGTCCACGAGACCGTATTTCAGAGCGAGCTCCTGGTGTAGAATTCTGGCTACTAGGTTGTGCCTGTGCAAGTACTTAGAGTTAGAAAGCGCCGAAAAAACGGAGATGACATGCTTGAGTGACTCCCCGGGATGGCGACAAGCTCGACAGACGTCGACGGTGCCATCCTTTAGGATGTATCTCCGATAGTTGTTGGTCTTAATAACCTGATCCTGTATTGCACAGACAAAACCCTCGGTTTCCCCGAAGAGGTTACCGAAACGTAGCCAGTTGAGGGAGGCGACTGTATCTACGAAGGGCTCATGTAGAGCCCTGTAGTACCTCCCGTGGAGCTCCTTCTCCTTCCATACGGTCTCCCGGTCGGAAATGCTAAGCACTGCTGGGTCCTGCCATTGCTCGTTGGCTAAGGATAGAGGGGTAAGCCCTTTATCACTAGAAATGACGTCATTATAGAATGGATCATCCGATCTCGCCAAGAAGTATTGACGGAGACTGCACACTTCGCGATTATGAATGGTGAGCGCGCTCAGAAAGCCACGCCCACTATACTTTCGCGGCAAGTACAGCCTCATTACCGACGATCTCGGATGATGCATCCTATGGGACGTCATGGTAGTGCGGACTTTTCTATCCGGGGCGTTAAGATCAGTCTGAGTCCACCTGAGTATGCCAAAGGTATACATGAGGACAGGCATGACCCAGCAGTTATATGCGTGTGACTTATTCACACCGGACAAAAGGCTGTTAAGCACTTTGGTCAAGCGTGCATAAAACACGTCGCAAACTGACTGTTTCATACCAGCCTCATCGATACCGATGTTCTGTGACATACCCAGGTATCGGTATGTTTCAGCCTCGGAAAGGGTCCTTAAGTTGATGGGCATAGATAAGTCTACGCCCTCAGAGTTAGCAACCCTTCCCTTTTCAACATGGAGGACCGCACACTTATCCGTTCCCAGCTCCATTCAATAGAATTGCTAAATTCACAAGTGATGTTTAGCAATTCCATAAGATGGGAGCGACTGGAGGCGAATAACTTGAGGTCATCCATATAGAAAAGTTGGGTCACTTTCGTACCTCCTTTTCGAAGCTGAAATCCTCTCCCGGAGCCCTCTAGTATCGGGTCTGTGGTATCCTAATGATCTTTAGGAACCAAATGAGTGATCCCAGTAGTGAAGAGGCTCGGGAGCGACTTCTGATCGAGAGCCTCTTAAAACTGTCGGACGAGCACAGCGTGACACACTACGAACCCCTTCAGCCAGTAATGATGCAGCCCGTCGAGCCCCGGACTTTTCCAGATCGGGGCCCTACGTACCGCCTCAGCTACTTCTTCAGGTGTTATGGTGATGGGGTCCATAACACTCGCACTCTGGCTCGCCACAACTTCTATCCAAGGGCCCTCGCTGTGGTTTACGGGCTCTGACCACAGGCCACGCCAAAATGCGACAGTGTCAGCCTGATCCGGTCCTGGGCCCACTCCACATACCTCTGGTCGCTCCAATGATTTATAGAGCCTTTTCTGATCACTCTGGAAGAGACGATTCTGGTTGAACCGCCTTGACCTCTCGCTAAATCGTCGAATGCTCTTCCCACAAGCAGCGATTTTTTGCTTCAGGTCATCTATGCGCTCCGTTAGTTTCTGCGTGATATCCGGCTGGGACAAACTAATATTTGTCCCAGCAAACGCCATTCTAACGGTGCGCACAACTCTCGGTCTATTATTACCCGACCTGAAGCTTATTAGTCTGTCGATAAGGGCCCTTGCCTTTGCGATACGGTCCTCAATTATTTTTCTCCGGGCTGGGATGGCACTACTTTTTTGAGTAGCACGTCCAGACACATGAAGTTTGGCGCCAATAAAACGGCATAATGCCAGTACGGCGCCAAAAAGAATTGAGTCCGTCTCGCAAAGGTCCCGGCTGGCTTCCAAATAGGTCACCAACATTGGGTTAAGAGCCCGATCAACAGCCCGATTTTGCTTGCTATGGGGTATGCGCGGAAGTCGCGGTCGACTTTCGAGAGGCATGCTGCGCGTTTCCAGCATCGACTCTTCCAATATGCTCCTCATTTTCTCTAGTCCGTGGGAGACTATTCCATCATCGTCTGAATTAGCCACAAATGGAATATTGACGGCAGCATCCACGCATGCAGTTTGTTGCGCATCTAGTGGCGCCGCATTCCCAGCCGTAGCATTTCCATTCGATGAAGGAATAGCCTCACGTCGTAGTCCTTCGACTTCGGCGTCACCAAATATGTTGGAGTGCAGGATGTATCGAAATCGGTCTGCCAGGTTTTGCTCAGTGACGGATAGAGATGGCTCCAGCTCTGCAAAAAAGCGATGCATCCGAGCCCGATACGCCAAACATCCAGTTTCCTCCTCTTTTGCCCTAAAATACGCCTGCAGTGCGTTTGCGTTCATTAATTTTGACCAACGCATGCGACGTGCTCCACCAGCGGCGGGTGCCGCTTGCTGAGTCCGAGAAGACCCAGCCGACACCAAACCTTCTGGTGGGGATGATGGATGCGGGGGGCTGCTAGGTGGTCTTGCAACACACCGCGCTCGGCTGGCGGCCCGCATGCTATCGCGTCCAACGCCAGCTCCAGACGCGCCCTGGCGACCTCCAGGCAGCGGCTCTTTGCGCACTATCTTTTTTTCCATCATCCATAATTTGGGCGTCCATTAACAGGAGACGCCCAGGCCCGGCAACGTATCGTGGACGGCCATAAGCACAAACGGGCATTTGCACCCTGAATTCTGCCGAGGCATGGCGCTCACACCTCTCGCAAGACGCTGACTGGCTGCGTTGACGTAGCAGTTTTGTCACTTAACTGTTACGTTAGCGGGGGATGGGGTCGTCAATTCCCTACGCCATATTTATTATTACATTATTACGCCATATTATTATTGTTATTTACGGTAAGTGTTTTCACTTCTCAACTCTAGGCTGGATTTCAACTACATTTACGGGCCGAAGCCAAAGCAAATGCAGCGCGTGTTGTGTAGTGTAGTTTATGTGATTTGATGAGGTCTTATTTCGTTTTCTTTTATCTGCATGAATTTCCTAACTATTCTGCATGTATTTCGATACCTCCTACGTATAATATCGTAACTAATAAATATGCGAAAATTTCTTTTATATATTTTTGAATGCTTAATAACACCCTAAGTCATGTAAACTATAAAAAATGTTTGTATTTACAATGTTACCGGAGATATTAAGACTGTAATTTATCGTATGTTCATTTAGATCGAAGAAACGTATCGTATGGTGTAGTACCCACACTGTACGCGGGGGCGGGGGGATCGCGAGCCGCAACGTTGTGTAGTAACTAGCAGTAGCGACAGATTACGCGGGGGCGGAGCTCTCCTGCTGCCGTTGACACCATTATTTAAAAAACTTGCATTTATTTTTGTATTTTGTGTGCAGTGACATCTATAATATTCAAGTAAGTCATCTAGGTCGAAACGAATGATTGATGCGGTCAAAGGCGTTGTGTCTGATTCGCATAATATGGTGGACGTTAATAATTGAAATCTCGATGATTGTGTGCGTTGCTACGAACCTGTGGTTGATGATTCTATTCGGAAAGAAGTTAAATATTACGTTTTAGTACTAAAAAAAAACAAGAAATAAATATGAAATAACTATTACGTATAGTACCGTGCAATACCCGCAGTAAAATATCGTAGGTAGAACTTACTATAGTCTACTTTGCATTTAAATATTTTTAAACTGTCGTAAGTAAAACTTACGATACTTAACTAGGGAAAATTATAAAAAAAAAATTAATAGTATTTTGTACTTACGATATTTCACATCGGAGTTACTTTTGGTAAATCTACGAGTATCTTATGCTACACTTACGATATTTTACTTTGATATGAAAATTAACTTACAACAGTATACTTTTAGAAAAAAGCTAAAATAATAAATTAGATTGTTTTTTTTTTACAGATTCGCCGCTTCCTTCTGATGCAGATATTTCTGAAATAAATCAAATGGTGGATTTGGTATCTGATTCCAAGGAAATAATATATCAAAGTCGTAATAATTCACTTATCACCTAACAAAGTAATTAACAGTAATTACCAAACCGCAATGATCTGTTACTTGTAAAAAATTGAATACCAGCTTAAACTCGTTTATTTCTATCATTTAAAAACGCTAGTTAATTTTGAAACGGTTTACTACCATAAATGCCTTTAATCTTTCATGGTCACTAACATTAAAATGATATTATTTATCGGGATATTTATCATTTATTATTATATTGATTATTTCTAGATATTTTGGTACTTGCAACAGCATCTAAATATTGCCAAACAATATTAATCTAATGTTTTATTACCTATGTGTTCTTTTGCACGATAGTTAAAAATAGTCTTAACATTTTTTTTATTTCAGGTTTTTCTGACGATTCTCCGGCTGAAAAAAATATCACAAAACATCCATCTCCCGATTGTAGTTTAAATCATATAAATTTTGATTGTGATAACTATTTCTGTCCCTGGTTATTCCTGGTACAGTCAGTTGATTCCAATATCACCGACTTAGCATATACCCCTCAAGCAAACACGCCTCTCTCTTCTTACTCAGAAGCAATACCACAAGCTTCTTGAAAATGGGTTTTCAAGCCAAGGAAAGATAAGGGAAATATCAGACGTCGACATGTTACGGAATGGAAGGAACAATAAAAGAAAAATTCTAAGAAACTTGGGCAAGGAGTATAAGAGTCGTGATGGTACTGTAAGAAACAGCAAATCTATGGGTTCTGTGTGACATACAAACTGCAGACTGAAATGTTCATCAAAAATTAGCGATGAAGAAAGACTTATGATTTTTAATACTTTTCGGGGCTTAGGTAATCGTGAAAAGCAATGGGCTTTCATTTCAAAATTGGTTGTAAAACAAAAAAACGCAGGGTGTTTACTGACACACAATCTAGACGCAATTTCACTTTAATTTATAGGCTATCAAGGGCAGATATAGACAATCAAGAAAACTATTTAACTGTGTGTAAGAAAATGTTTCTGAATACTTTTTCAATTAGTGAACAATTTGTATACACATTCCTGGAAAAAGAAACAATATAAGTGGTTTGATAGGAACTAACATGCGAGGACGTCATCCTAACCATCGTAAAGTAATAACAGAGGATATTATCAAAAGTGTATGCGATCATATAAAATCACTTCAGCCTGTAGAATCCCATTACACCCGCATTAGAAGTAATAAACTTTACTTAGACGGAGACCTGAATTTTCATCGCTTATTTGATTTATATAATGAGTGGTTGGATACACTCGCATACTGCTCAAAAGCTAGTATGGAACGGAAATATCGCGACATCGCTAACAAACATTTTAAGATAAGTTTCCACGTGCCAAAAAAAGATCAATGTGACAAATGCCACATTTACAAGAACCTGTCTATTCCTACATTATCACAAACAGAATTACACGAAGAACATATTGTATAATCCAGTACATAGGTATGACGAGGTAGTTCGAGGTAGGTATGTATTTGAAATTAAACTTCAATATACAGTACTAACATAACCAATTAGTTTTCTTTTATTGTGAGCCGTATGAACCCGAGGGTCATTAAATCAAAAAACCTTTACACCGCGTGAAGCAACATACAGCAAGCGCCATCTATGATCGCACTTAGGAACTAAATCATTAAACATTCCGCCCACCAAGGACGATATAAACAGAATCGTCCTTAATTAACATTAACGTGTCAATAAAACAATAAAAATAAACCGCCCATCATGCCACAATACAATAACAAAACAAAGTAAGTAACCTATATGATTAAAACTACTTTTACAGATTTTATCGCGTTTATTTTTACTTTTTATTTTTAATTCCCGACGTTTCGGGCGCTTTCCAGCACCCATGGTCACGGGGGACTGAGATGACTGACGTCCCGATGTCATTGTTAAACCCGGAGTACCTTCAGCTTTTTTAATTATTGTTTATGGTCCGATCTATGCAAAATGAACTGACTATGTCCTGAGGTCTTGCAGTGGTATGCTTGGGTTTAGTTTTAATTTTATTGATTATAGGATCCCAAGCAGGTGTACCCAGCCTCCTTCTCTATTGAAATTAGATGTTTTTTAATTTCAATAGCCTCACGTATCATCCTTGGTAGGAATCGGTGTTCTTTCGCGAGGATTTGTGGTCTATCAAATCTGATGTAATGGTTGGGGCCGTCTAGGATATGATCACAAACTGCAGACTTCCCGGAACGTTGATGCTTCACATCAGCTATGCGTTCTTTTACGCGGGTCCTAATTGATCTTTTGGTTTGTCCTATATAAGAGAGACCACATTCACAATCAAGCTTGTACACTCCTGCATCTTGTAGAGGAATATGACACTTGACGGATGGTAGGAACTGACTAATCTTCTTCGGCGGCTTGTAGAATGTTCTAATAGAAGCTCGCTTCAAGATATAGCCAATCTTGTCTGTGACACCTCTGACATATGGTAGTACAGCAGGCACACGCTCGACTGTGGCCGGCTTCACTCGGTCACTGTGACGTAGGCGCGGGACCCGAAGCTTGTTGTCGTGCAGAACTTGCTTGACGTGCTGAAGCTCGGCGGCCAGGTGTTTGCTGTCACAGATCCCTCGTGCTCTCTGTAACAAAGATTTGCCCACGGTAGCTAACTGTGAAGGATGGTGGTGAAATTCGCCGTTAAATATCGGTTTGTATGGGTCCTTTTCCTTTTTCTTTGGTCACACTGTGTATAGGAGGAATAGGATAAGGGGTTAAGAAGTACATTAAACATTTTATTGGTTAGCAGAAGGTCCGGTATCAATTGGAAGTATACAGAGCTTGGATACTGGTCTCTTGATAACTGTATTTTTAGTTCGCAAAGTGACTACACGCGTAATGTTATCAGTTCCTGGATGTTTAGCTATCACTCGGCCAAGGAGCCATTTACACGGGGGGTAAATCATTCTCTTTTATTAACACTATATCTCCTAACTGCGGTTCAGGTGTTTGTTGTGACCATCTGTACCTATGTAAAAACTGGTTTAAATATTCTTGCGACCATCGTCGCCAAAATTGTTGCATCAGTTTCTGGGTGAGTTGCCACCTGCGTAAACTGCTGATGTTGGAGGTTTCAGAGTTGTTGTCTGGTAAGGTAACCAAGGGTTCTCCAACCAAAAAATGGCCAGGAGTTAGTACCTCCAATGATTCAGGGTATGTCCGAAGTTGTGTTAGAGGTCTTGAATTCAGGCAGGCCTCAATCTGAATCAAGACTGTAGACAGCTCTTCGTAGGTTAAGGTTGTGTCTCCGATGACCTTCCTTAAGTGTGTCTTCACCGACTTAATTCCGGCTTCCCACAACCCTCCAAAATTCGATGACCGTGGCGGAATAAAGTGCCAATAAGTGCCGTGTGAAGCCAAGGAATCTGCCACTTCTCTTAAGATTTCTGACCTTTCAGAGGCAAATAGTGTGCGCAACTCTCTAGCGGCTCCCACGAAGTTTGTGCCGTTGTCGCTCCAAATGTCGGTACAGAGCTCACGGCGAGCAACAAATCGTTTGAACGCGCTTAGAAATCCTTCGGTTGTAAGATCACTAACAACTTCCAGATGAATTGCTCTAGTCGCCATACAAATAAAAATACATATGTATCCCTT